CCTGCTAACAGATCAGTCATCTCAGTGCCGTGAGTGCACTTCCCAGGGAAAATGGGTTGGGGTGCAAATTGGTAACTTGAAAATCCTTCACTCCTAAGGCATTTTAATATGCATTAACAGGGCCAAATAGGAAGGCAGACAACCTTTGCAGAGCACCTCAAAATTAGGCTGTATAATCATTCTGCATTGCATCTGTGCCCTGCCTGTCGTGGACATGTTAAAGTAATCTGGGATGTAATATAGGCATTATTGTTTAGGGTAATATCACAACACATTAATCAAGTAGTGGCTTCCTTTGGGAGGGCAGAGCTAGTTTCACCATCTTATTTGCAATATATATGAACGTAAATACAGATTTACAGTCCAGCCAGTGCAGTCAAACTCTGTTGAGCCACGGGCTGGAAGAGTATAAAATGTACACTGTGTATGGGCAGTGAAATCCTAGATAATGTCTATTCTTCTCGTATCTCAAGTGAACACAGGACTACTAAAGAATATAGACTGTTTTAACCTCCTGTAGTAAAGTGAAATCGCTTAAATGTATCTGAACACTCCCATTATGCCAGTTTCATAGAGGCAAGGTTTAAGTGGTTGCCAGATGTTATAACCTCCTGATTTCCAGGCTTGGGGGTTTTTTTTGGTGCTGTATATTCTTTCCCCTTTCTGCCATCCATTGGTCTGTAATGAAAGTTGGGCTGGTGGTTTGACTGTTCTGAGCTTGCGAACCCCTAGTGCTACGCTTGCACTTCCCTGGGACACTGGGGTAAACCCAGCCCTGGAAACGCTGGAGGATCTGTCCTGATGGGCAGTGAGGAGGGGAAGACAGCAGAAAAATCTCTTTGGAAAGTCTTTACAGCTCTTTATGTTGCTCTTCCATGAAGAAAAATCCATACATTGTGGTTTGCTGGGCTTTATGTGTGAATAACTGATGCTGCTAGATTTACACAACTACTTTTTAGCGCTGCTTCTGTGTTAAAACAGGCCTCTACAGTGCTTTTTTATGTGGAAATCTTGTAGCTGGGTGTGGTGGGGAAGCCGTTCAGTGACTCATACAGCAGGGAATTCCCTGATGAATTAGAGTATTTTTACTTCTGGACTTGTGTGCAGTTTCCTTTAACGCTGGAGCGAGCGGCTGATAAGAGCAGACTACAAAGGCCCATTCACTGTTCAGCCTCCGCATGTTAAAACGGGGTGTTTATGCTTTGCAAAGCTGAAAATCCACCCCACGTAACGCGGTAGGTTCTCGGTATTTTCGTCATTAGCAATCCCAGGTGCTCCCAGTGTCACAGCGCCGGGGGAAAAAAAAAAAAAAGGCTGAGGCGGCTGGTGGTGAAGTGCACCCAAAGCAGGGATGGCTATAAATAACAGCAGTCGGTCTGTAAATGTCAGGCTTCCTGACAAAACCTGGTGTCTTCAGCTGGCGGCAGCGCTGATGGCCACCTGTCAGCAGTGCAGCGCCGAGCCCGGGCACGGTCAGAGAGCCCGTGCAAAACAGGGGGATTCTCGCTCCCCTGGCGCTGCCCCGCTCCCACGCTGCCTCTTAGGCGGAGGAGGGACTCTAGGGTCTTTCTTCCAGCCCTTGGCATGGGTCCCCAGCTGAAGCCTTGGCTTTGGGGGATCAACTGCTGCTGCTCCTGTCGGCACCGGGGAAGGGGGGCACTCTGCCGGGGTCTCTGCAGGGCTTTTGCCCTGTGGGTTCTGTGCACAGATGTTTTGTTTTTATTTCCCTTTTGTAAAAAAGATACACCACAAAATAAAACAAATCCAGTATAATACCTTGACACAAGTTTTCAGCTATATAAAGAGATGTCTTTCTGTTCAAAATATTGCACTATAAATCTTAAAAACGCCAAAACAAAGCCAGGCATTTGGTTTGGATAAGATATTACTTGGTAAAAGTAAATAGCAAAATGAAAGGGAATGAAATGAGACCTTTGGAAAAGCCGTTTTCTCCCTTCTCCCTTTTCCTCCCTGCCTCCTCCTCTCCTTCCTCTCCTGCCTCCGTCTCCCCCCCTCCCTGTATAACAACTGCCCATTTGGGTACGGTAATTCCAGAGAGTAAACTTTAACGGGAATGCCTGAAATGTGTCTGCTTCAGCTTTGTGTTATGTCTGTAATTTGAATTATTTGCATTTTGGAAAGGTATAAATTGCTCTGGTGTACTTTGGTTGGCCGGCGGCCAGGAGGGAGTTGCCTTGGGCCCCGACCCAGGCGGGCTGCTGCAGATGTGGCAGGCGTACAATGGAAACTTTTGTGGTTGAGCAGCCCTCGCTCCTCCAGGACACACTGACGGGAGGCGGCATCCCGCCTGCTCGCCAGGCTGCCCAGCCTATGGGCACAGGGGGCAAAACCGTTTTCTCTGGTGCGGGCAGATTGTCTTGCTGCTTCAGGCTCCCACAAACCCTTCCGGAGCCATTATTCCTTTCTCTTTTTCTTTTTTAATTTTTATTTTTATTATTATTATTTTTTCTTTCCTTTAATTTCAGCTGAACTGTATAAACCTGCAAAACATGTTTACTGTAAGAGGTTGACGTAGTGGTCTAAGGTTTCCCTCCTGGAGCTGGTCCCAGTCCGTGGGCGTTGAGATTTCCCTCTTGGTTCACCAGACGTAATATGAGGAATTGTCCTTTTTTTTTTTTTTTTTTTTTTTTTGTCTCTGCTTCATAACAACTTTCCTCCATGTGTTTTTGTTAAATGAAATGTCACTAGCTGTTAATGAGTTGTCTATTCCCTACTTCTTCCCTCTCTTCCCCTTCCCCTCAGTCGCTGAGCTGCGATGGTCTGGACAGTCTCAAGGGAATTTCTTGGAGCGAAATCAGTATTGTTCTTATTAGCTTCCAAAGACGAGCCATGGCTCTGGATTTTTATTTTCTTAATAGTTTAGATTACAGCATTTAAAACATTTCTGAGCAAACTCTCTTTGTCATCATAAAAATTTCAAAAGTGCATAAAGGCGGTGCTGCGTGAAGTAATTGAAAGACTAGCTAGAGATGGAGTCGTTTTGAATTTTACTGAAGTATCGGCAGGAAATAAAAACCAGAAACCTGAATCAGATCATTCGTCTTGCAAAGCAGAAATTAAACACAGCAAAAAACCTGAACTTCTGGTAATCCATTTACAAAGGCAAATTGAACACATGTTAACTACTAGTCTGGACGACTGTAGATGTAAAAAAAAAAGAACCCACCAACAAACCCCTTACAAAGCAGAAGTTCCTAGACTTTGCAAAACGTGTGATAGTGCCAGTGCTGTGTTACTCTACAACTGATTGAATTAATTGGGAGGGAGAGGGAGGGAGGGCTGCAGGGGCTCTATGGGGAGGGGGCAGGAGATGAAGGAGGCTGCTCCCAGACAAGGGATGTGTCCTGGCTTGCTGAATTTCAGTCAGGGTTTTTCTACTGACAGCTCAGGGGAAGCATCTGTTGGATAAATTGTGAAGCCATCGCCAGTCCTCCCGAGAAGTCTGCTTCAATTCTGGCACTCTCAAAAGGCATCGTTAAGGAGAGCTGAGCACGGTCTGGCTGCTCTTTCTCTCCCCGCAGCCGAACGTGGCAGTACCAATTAAAGGGATTCCTTTTACAGCGTCACAATTTAAAATGTAGGAGGAAACTAAGGGTAGATCTGCTAATTGTTTCCTACAGAAAGACCTGCCAAATCCACTGTGCTATTTGTGCTGCAGCTTTCACGTTGCACCTCTTTCCATACATTAAAAAGAAGGGGGTTTTGAACATTAAAACAATCGCCAGGGCTAGTCCCTCAGCAGCATTCCTTTCACAGTAGGACAGCTGTACACAAAAATATTATTTACAGACATTTGTAATAAATCAGGCAGTTCTAAATGCGTCACCTCCATCCTGGCCATGAAAGCGAAGAGAGAAGAAAAAGTGCATTCACTCTTTTACCTTGCCGAGAGCTGTTTTCCTAAGGCAGGCCTACGTCTATGTGATGAAGTTCAAAATAGCTAATATTTGCATTTGCATGTCCCGATGCTGCAATAAATATACAAAAGAGATGACATGAAGTCTCATTTTCCCTTTCATTCATTGACATCTGACAATGGTGGGACTCATGAAGCTGCATGTGTCCCTGCTGCCCAGCTTAGACAGCAGTCTGCTTGTGGCCTTCCGTACATGTTTGTGTTTTTCTAGGCCTGCAGAATGGAAACCTTACGTTTTGTATTACTTTTCTAATTTCTTTGCCATTGAGTTTTGAAGCCACAAGGAAGAAAAAAAAAACAGTTATTGACCAGTGACTTCTGTATCAGTGAGGCGCAGGAAAAATGACACAAACCCAGTGTCTTCCAAAAGATGGGTCCCCAGAAAAAGTGATAGCTGTAGCTTAAATCTGTGTTTGCTTGAAAACAGAAATACAGTATATTAGGAGGACCCAACACACCACTAAAAGCAGCTCCAGAAAACTGTAGGTAGGACCACTGTAGCTAAGCTAAACTGACTTTAAAATGGAGTCAAAGGCTGTGTTTCCCAGCCTATGGCCTTGCCTTTTGATCCAAGCAGCAGAGTTACGATAAGCCGGACTAAGAGTGTGTTAAAATGAAATACTGCATGGCTGAGGAGCTTCCTTAATACTACTTTGTTTTGTTTTGTTTTGTATTAGTGCTGAATATGACTTCCAGCACAAGTAGTGATCAAAAGGCCTCATGGGTAGCAGTATTTTTATCTGAAAGTCTGGGAAACTAAGGCGTAGAACAGTTGCATATTTTGTCCACACTAGTGGTAGAATAAACTCCCGGTGGCTTTCCTCCATTGCAGTATTGTGCGCTCTGGACTGTGGTTCCCCCCTTCAAAAGAGCGAAGTGGACTCCCGTTGCAGGTTACCCAGATGGCCTCCTGGTTGGGCAACGCTTGGCCAATGCATTTTGAGAGCTGGTTTTCGTATATGCAGTGCCCCTTCAAAGAGAATTTTTTGCAAAAGTCATTCTTTTGTAGGCTTGGGAGAGGAAAAAAGGACGGAACTAGATATCTTTTTCTTTTGTCTTTTAGATGGTCACCATGTGTGGGAAATGGAAGCCAAAACCGACAAAGAAATGTGCAAGCCAGTAAGTCTGCCTTAAATATTTTAACATCAAGATGAAAAATATATATTGCCTTCTCCAGCACTGTTACTAAAGAGGGATTTCCAAGGCTTTGGCACTGTGTCTCCCCACTGAAACAGAACAAGTACTTAAGCCTCCCCTCCTGGAAATCTTTCTTTAATGGGAGCATGGGGTAAAAAGCCTTCATTGGAAGCTATCCCAAAAGTCGGAGACACCATTTGGAAAATATTTTTCATTGTCCGGGATGGGCCAGCCCCGTCTGCTCATCTTCTGTCTTGCTGGGTCAGTTCTTCCTTCTGCTCCCAAAGCAATTTCTTGATCATTTTCCTTGGCTTTTGTCTACTGTGGCAGAAGAAATGTGAGTCCTCTCACAGGAGATCAGCCCCATGGTTGGAGAAGTGTGGCTTCCTCAGCCATGACTGTAAGTGGGAAATACAGCCACTATTCCACCTCTGCAGGAATATGCAGCAGTTTGTTAGCTGCAAACCCGCTGGAGACATGCAGGCAAACAATTTAAAGACCTCAGCTGAATGCAGGCCAAATGCTAAGATGAGCGTTCCCTTTTATTCTTTCAAAAAGTGCCAAGGGAGGTTTTGATGGTCATAGCAGATTTCACTGTGCACTTGTGTAAGCTGATGCCCGAGCAGCTAAGTCATTCCTTAGCCCTGTGCTGGAGGATTTGGTTTCTGACAGTGGAAGATCATCTACACACTCTCCAGCCCTTCTTCCTGTTAGCACATCCACAGAAACTAGCATGCTTAGAACTTCCTGTTAGATGAAAAAACATTTCACTGTGGAAAATGAAAATACTTGAATAATCATATGCCTGTCCTAATTTTCCTTTCAAAGCAAGTTGTGTTAGGGTGAGGTATACTGGGGTTGACCTGCCAGCCAAGCAGCTGTGCTTTCTCCTGCTGAGTTAGGGACTACAATTTGGTTGTGGTTCCAGATTCTTGTCCATATGCAGATATCGTATTTGCTGTCCAAAGGGAAGAGGTGAAGGCTGGTGATTCTGTAAGACCTGAACCATGCTAAAATCTTACTTCCCTACTTCTGGAGTCCTTGGAACAGGGGACACTGGGGATGGCGGGTGGCCATCCTTGCCCACCAGCCCACCAGTTCCCCTGCAGAGAGTGTGTTCCAAGTTGTGAGCCCGGGCGCCTCCTTCTCAGGGTTAACTTGTGAACACTATTGTGCAGCTCGACTGCCTTAGTTGTGCCTTGACTTTCTGATTTGTTGCTTTTGCAGAATTCATTAGTGGTTGAGATACCACCTTTCCGCAATCAGAGAATTACCAGCCCTGTCCAGGTCAACTTCTATGTCTGCAATGGGAAGAGAAAGAGAAGCCAGTACCAGCTTTTCACCTATCTTCCTGCTAATGGTAACAAAATACATATTCCTTATCTCTGCTAGTAAAAATGAGAGATAATTATGATTACTTAGAAAGAGATATGGCTCTAATAATTCTTTAGTAACCTGAGGAATTTGGAGGTATACCTGGTGCCATAAAATATGAGTGAGAATCAGACCATGAGAGCTGCCTTTCTCTCCGCTGCCCACATAAGCGATGTTCTGATGAATGTTTTCTTTTATATCGGTGGCAGAGAACTGCTGGAATAAGGACTTTTTCTGCTTTTAGGAGATGAAGAGCCCCGGCACACACTTACATGTGTAGCCACAAATTGTGAGCGCACCGAGCTCTCTGCTAAGTTGCTGTCAACCCTTGGTCTGACTTTGTGGCCCCAGAGGGCACATTACATTTGAATAATACTTCTGAGTTCGCATCACAGCACCGTAAGCATGCTGGGCTCTGAGCTGGAGGTGGCATGTGGATTTTCCTTTCAGTCATCCTGCACCTCTCTGTCTTGCGCGGGGTGAAAACAGTGCTCCAGGCTGATGCCGCGCTTGGGTAGCAATGAAGAGCACAATGTGAATGGAGATCAGAGTGCTCCATGCAAAATGCTTTGCCTATAGGAAGTGTTCAGAAACACATGTGCCAATTTATTTTGGAAGCTTATGGCAGTGGCTGTGAAGTGACACTGAAGTACTCAATGCTAGCTGAATTCCAAGCAGGCTTGTATGAAGATTTTAATAGCAAGTAAATTTAGATTTTTTTAATTTTTTTTTTTATTATTTGAAATGGCACTTTTTCTGAGAACACTTTTTTTGGGAAAGTAGAAGAAAAGGGTGGTTTTGATGCTGTTGTTTTGGAAGGAAGAAGAATTAGAAAAATGATTAGGTTCATGCTTTTTTGTAGACTTTCCAAGTGAAAATAGTCCTTCTGAGGGAAATTCCCACAAAGCAATACTTGAGTCGTGTCATGTGACTTGAAGAAACCTGCCAACTTTTTGCAGGTGAAATCCCATGAAATACGCATTCGGAATTTCACCTAGTTCACTTGCATGCACACCAGACTTTTATCAGGACTTTAATTTAAAATAAAAGTGCCTGAAACCTGACATGGGCAACTGACTGCTTATTGCATATGTGCTGCGTGGCTATGCTTCACCAAATCAGCCTAGTTATGCAAACTTCATCCCCAGTGAGTATGTCTGTGTACATTTAAAGACATAAATTTCATCTCTTAGATTGGAAAGAAAAAGAGTTGTTACTCTCTTGTAGAACACTTTTCAGCAACAAAAGTCCGTTGTAGAGGCCAACAGGTATTGCCTTGCTACCCAGGTTACCCTCACAGGTATTTCAAATACGCGCCTGTTTTTAACTGCTGTTTATTAAGCAGCATCGTTCCTCTACTGCCTTTTCATAGGCCATTTTTTACCACTTTGTTCTAAACCACAGGAATAGTACTCACTGCTGCAATGTTGGTTTATGCTACCACCATTCTGAGTTTGAAACATCTGATGTGAAGTTATGGGAATACCTACCTAGTGACAGGCAACAGAGAACCAGCCTAGGCTTTATTCTGCAAAGACATCTTTAATTATGGCAATTGTTGAAAACACTGGGAATCTTGTTTAGTCTGCTGTACTGATAAACCTGAAAGAAAAAATATAACACCAGAGTAGGGGAAAGGGAAGCAGGTATTGAATGGTAAATATGCCTTCCCTCCATTCCTGTTTGGTTCTCCACTCACGTTCTCTTAACGTATATGGGCATATAGGTAATTGAAAAACATCTTACATTCTTTGCAAACTCTTTCCTAACAGTGGTAAGAGTGAATTTGCTTCTGCAATCATCAGAATTAATAGTAGAGTATGTTTTTGTTACACCTGTGTTGCAGCTGTAAGGTTTTGCGCGTATGTTGCTGGTCGTTGTTTCCATTGTGCCTTTCAAAGATAGATACGATCACCTTGACTACGTATTTAGAAACCATGCACAATGACTGAATCAGTCATTTACGCTGCTGTATTTCTAGGAGTCATTTTAGGATGTTCTGCTTTATTTGATTTCAGTCACTACATTCTTTTAATGTTTCAAGACATTGTAGAAAACCAAAGTTTTGCTCATGAAGAAAAGAATAGTTGAGTCAACAAGCACGGTGTGATCAGTGTACAAAAATGTAAAGCAGATAAGCACTATTTTGGTCCAGGTAACACTTTGTCTCTTGTTTAAACAAATTGCGTGAACATAAAAGGTGTAGGTCTTTGGCAAGCAGATGCCAGAGTGATCATCCAGAGTAAGGTGTGATTTTACACAAATCAGGTGGTATCCTGTAAGCTTTTTCTCCTGTGCTTTAGGACTAGTCAGAATGCTAACATTGCAGTGATTACCATAATTTTGCAGGTATTTCTGCACGAGGGATCTCTTAAAAGCTGCATGACACACATTAGACATATATTTTATAGCTCAGCTGGGCTGTGCCAAAGCAAAATACCATCTATGGACTAAAGCCTAAATACTGCGTGAGCCCGCTGGCCGTGCTCCTGGGGTGGGTGCGGGCACACGCAGATGGTGCAACCAGTGGGAGAACCATGGGCTTGCTGTGCGGTTCCCACCCCGACTGCAGAGCAGAGGTTGTTTTTTTCCTGTAGCTCCTGTTTTTCCTCATTCCCTAGGGGAAAACAGCCAGTGGATCCAGGGACACGTGGCCTCACTCATCCCACCTCCCGTGGATGGTCCTATAGCGTCTCCATGGAGTACAGCTCTGTGACGTGCAGCCAGCACAAGCTGTCCTCTCCAGCAGAGTGTTATGGTTTCGCTGCCATAAGGCTTCTCCCATGCTGCAGAGATATGGCAGGATTGTATTTTTCCTCTGTGTTAGCTCAAGTCTTTTGCAGAGCAGGGACTTACTTGGTGAAGACAAGTTCCTGCCTCAGAAAGAAAAAAAGTGCTGTAAAAATGAAAATCTCACTGCTCTGTAAATGGAAAGTTTAAATAACAAAACAAAACAGAAAGTAGAGGCTTCACAAATAACAGCCAAGGTCTGGAAAACGGGCTTGCTTAAGTCTTTGGCTTGGGACAGACCATAAACCTAAGTACTCATAATCCACTTTTAATTGAAATTTTGATTTACTGTTCTGCTGAATTTGAGCAATCCCTGAATCCTGTATTAGCCTATAGTGTACAGAAATGACTGTAATGTCATTTTTTTTTTAGTATTGCTTCAATATTACGCATCGCTGAACAATTGCATATTGGTTTTGTCCTGGAGCCTGCAAGCTGTAGGCTCCTGAGACTCCTCCCCAGACATGCCTAGCACAGAAATACAAGTAGTTTCCATACCATTCTGGCACAGGTGAATTCCCGCAGCTCATATGGTAAGTACTAATACGTTTTGCATTGCCACATCCCATCAGAATGTGAGGAGGAAGGCGCAGGACTGGATGCTGCAGTCAGGAGTCTGAGCAAAGCAAAATGGGCTTGGATATTCAGCTTTTAAGGTCCCTCCACTGCGGCAGCTCTGTGCAGGCGTGCTCTGTGTCTCCGTTATGTGCAGCAGAACATTTTGGAAATCCATTGGTGAACGCTGCATTTGTGAACCCTACCCTTTAGAAAAACGCTTGGTTTTCATTTCTGTTTATGACTGCGTATCATTCTGCTTCTGTGAATTTATTATACTATTGGCCCATATATGCATTTCAAACAGGAGGAACAGTCTTCTGAAATCACTAGGCGTAAGTGGTAGCATTTGAGGTATAAACTAATCTGGAGAGGCTGAAGAAGAACACAAGCAATCAGACACGTATGCTGTGGTTCCAAATCCTGTGCTTTCATCTGCTAAGAAAGCTGAAGGAGTTCTCCAGCTCAGAAGACTTTAAACAGCGCACCGAATGATAAGGGTTAGATCTCTGTTTGCTCAGATTTCTTTTAAGGAGGTACATCAAAATAGAGGAAACGTGTTCAAGAACTTACTTTTCACAGATAGGAGCGAATGCTCTTTATGATTTCTGTTATCTAATGAATATTGATATCAAGAACAGTGAACATAGAAAAGTTTTTCTTTGGATTTTATTTAGACATGTAGTGATACTCGACTAAGCAAAGACAGACTAGTTTGTCTAGGAAATAATTAATAAGATGGAAAAAGGAAAGCTGATGTGTTTCTTTTACTGGAATGAAAAATACGCTTTTGCAAAGAGTTGATGATAAAGTATTTCCGGTTTCTGTTTCTGTCAGGATTCTTACTTGTCAAAGCATTATTAAAAAATCATTTCACTACTTCTAGTATTTATTAAAATGGTGTTGATACACTAGGCAACTTCTATTTTGAGACACGTTTAACCACCCATAGGGCCAGATTTCCAAGTGCATGGCCTTCACTTGTAGAGCCAGCTTTTCTGCAGTTCCTTTGCCTCCCTGGAGGCACCAGCACAAGCCCCCAGCATGCTGAGCTCCTCTGAAAACCTGGCCCTGTAGACAAGTGACTTGGTGGGGACATAGGTCCTTTGAATCTGCAGGTACGGAGCTGTGCTGAGAGCCTGCCTGTGGTGACCAGATGTGCCTTAGTATCGTTGTTTACAGCCCAGCAGCACAAAATGAAGTTCAACAAGGCCAAGCACAAGGTCCTGCACATGGGTTGGGCACATCCCAAGCAAAAATACAGGCTGGGTGGATAACAGATTGAGAGCAGCCCTGAGGAGAAAGACCTGGGGGTGTTGGTTGATGAAAAGCTGGACATGAGCCAACAATGTGTGCTTGCAACCCAGAAGGCCAACCATATCCTGGGTTGCATCAAAAGCAGCATGGCCAGCAGGTTGAGGGAGGTGATTCTGCCCCTCTACTCTGCTCTCGTGAGCCCCCACCTGGAGCCTTGTGTCCGGCTCTGGGCCCCCCAACATAAGAAGTACATGGACCTGATGGAGCAGATCCAGAGGAGGGCCACGAAGATGATCTGAGGGCTGGAGCACCTCTCCTATGAGGACAGGCTGAGAGAGTTGGGGTTGTTCAGCCTGGGGAAGAGAAGGCTCCGGGGAGACCTTA